TATCTTAACATTTTGTGTTCAGCACTTAAAATTACCATTCTTTGCTTGCTGTATTTGCTGAGTAACTATTAAAATAATTATAACCATACAGTATGTTATCAATGCACTGCTGTTTAACTCACTGATAACTTCTAATTATGCTCTATAGGCAATTCTGCCATTAAATAGAACTGTTTAACAGGATCTTCCAGGTTGGAATCTAAAATATTGAGTTTAAGATGATAAAGCATTGCTTTAATTCTTTAGGTCACCTTCTTAATAATAAACAAGTATTTAGGAGTTTAGAGGAAAGAAAATAGTTTTTTTATTCTGCCTTTCTTTTTGAGTTATAAATCAAAGCAGCAAACATACCAATAGTCTTTCTTCCTCCTATTTCCCTACAACAACAACCCTGTGAAGTGAGTTAGGCCGAAAAAGCGTGACTGGCCAAAGTCACCCAGTCGACTTTCATGTCTAAGGTGAGACTAGAACTCACAGTCTCTTGGTTTCTAGGCCAGCATTTTAACCACTTCACCAAACTGGCTCTCAATTTTGGTAGGATTAAAGTAAAATAGAAAGAGAAATTAATTATAAAGAAATAAAAATTTCAACCAATAATCCAGAACCATATTTTAGAATTCTAGAATACTTTCAAAATGAAAAAAAAATAGAGCCATCCAGCCATTCCCTTTCAGGAAAACCGATGGTTACTGAACATGGGATTAAGCGGAGTCCTCCCACTATGCCCTCCACATATTCTTGGTTATTAGATTAGATTAGAATTCTTTATTGGCCAAGTGTGATTGGACACACAAGGACATTGTCTTGATGCATACGCTCTCAGTGTACATAAAAGAAAAGATACATTATATACTGTATATGTTATATACTATATAAAGTGATTTTCAGTCTTCTCTCAATTGAATGACACGTATGCCATTGCCTTTTATGGTATAAGGGTTCTCTATATAAAATACACACACACAAGGAATGATATCTTGAAAGTAATGCAGAGGAAAAACACAACTTATTTTGTAGGCTAAGATAATTCAGCCTTCCCCACCGCAGATGTGAACTACAATTCCCAGAATTCCTAGGCCACGTATAATCCTAGGCATTGCAGTCCCACACATCTTGTGGGTGCCATATTGCATAATATATGAGAAATGGAAGGAAACATTGTTCCCTGCCCTCCCCATCAGCTAAAATCGGAGAGCTAAGCTGTCATCACATGTATTTCTTAGACAAAGAATTAAAATGAATAACTCCTCATTCTTCTCAGTGAAATATTTTGACAAATCTCACTGTAAAAATTGTATAAATTATAATAGCTGTCATACCCTACCCTACAATTTAAAGATCCTAAAGACACTTACAATTAATACATCATCTCGACATTGGGAATGAAACTGTTAAGTCATTTTCCACAACAGACACTTGTTACTTGATAATAGATGATGGATAATTGTGAAGCTATTTCATAATCCAACACAAGGCTTGGGAAAGAACATTTCACATTTTGCATGTATTAGACATTTATCATAGCTAAGAAAGGCATTTTTCCCTTGATAAATCGTCACTCAACACATTATCTACACTGATGAAGTACATTTGTGTACTTGCATGTATATGTGGAGAAACAGAGTATTTTCAGACTGCACACATACACAAAAAAAACCCTTACTTTTCAGTATGTGATAGTACCCACTAAAATGCACAGTATTTAATTCATCAAACCTACGGATGGTGAATGAACAAAGATAAAAATAACAGGCTAGTTATAAACTAGTACTATGATGATGACATTGTGAATTATTTAAAAAGGGCATATTCAATGTGACCACAGAGCCATCAATCATAATAGACATTGATGAGAAAAAGAGGTTTCAGTCACTTCCTATCTGCCATGAGAACAATTCTATCTCACAGGTAGCTGTGAAGTGCCAAGTGACCTGGTGTCACTTGCATTGTTGCTCTAGCCTTTGAACGGAGAGAGTAGATTCTCTCAATATTAGAATCGAATGAGTAAATAAATTCTCAGTTCACTGCCACACTCCTTCAGAGTGCACACTTCAATTTGTCTAACAATAGAGAGGACAGAAAAGCAGAAATCTCTTAAAGCAGGGATGAATTTTTTATGGAATGTTCAAATCCTGCTGCAAAGAATGAGGTTTTAAATGGTAGCAACCCTTCTTTTAGCCAAAGTCCCCCGAGACAAAATCTTCGGGAAATGTTTTGTATTGAATTCACAGGGCTTTCCAAATACTTCCTTTCCATAGAAACATTCTGCTTTAAAACACACACACAGACACACCGAGTGCAGTCCATTGTATACCCTGATCTTTAAGGAGAGAAAATTAGAGTGCTATAGTTAAAAGGAAGAGGGAGAAAATTAAAAAAAACAAAAATGAAAATTCTCTAACAAGGATATAAGATTATTCTATTCAACAGTTACTTAGAAATGAATGAACCCAAATAGTTCTTTTGTTTTCTCCTGCAAAAGATAAGGTATCAAAACATCAGTGTTAAAATCGCCAGGCTCTACTGTAATCCCCAACATCTGTGCCCAAAGATTCTCAAGAATTATTTAATAATGAATTCTGTCTGAGATTCTATAGATCCCATGCCTAACATAGGGAGTAGTAGTATTACACTAAGCCATGGTTATTTGTTGGTCTTCACTGAATAAACCGCAGTTGGCTTTTCATTAAACTGTCAGTTGTTGTTCACTAACAGTAATGATTTGATTCACAGAGCAGACAAGCCAAACCCAAATAAAACCTATGATGGCTTAATGCCATGGGTAAACCTGGTATACTCTTGGCAAAACAAATGGCCAGGAGTCTTTCTTTGCTAGGTGACTGAGTAGGACAGTTGACACCCATCCTAAAAAAGCAAGGAATTCAAAAGCAATCTTCAATATTTTGAAGGCTTTTCCCAGTTGTTAGAACTGCTGACCAAATGGAAGATCTAGTTGGTTGGTAGAATAGGGAACCAAAGTAATACATGATTATTCAAAGCTCACTCCACGTGGCAGATTTCTACTGAAATTGTTGAGACAAATCCTTATCTAATTATGAATGAGTTTATTTTTGTTTGTCTTCAAGATGTTAGAAATTGTTGGAAGAAGTAGGGCTTACTATTTTTTTTTTTAGCCCTATAATCATTTTTGGGAAGCTGGTAAAGGAGGACTGGCTGGTTGGATTGAGCTGGCTGTAAGAACTTTTTGAAACATATTTAAAACAGATAGTTTGTTACAACAAAAATGCTTAAAAAACCCAAATCTAGTTTTCTTTCTCAACAAGCATAAGAAATTCTGAACACTTAGGGAACTATAATTGAAGCTCACTACTACGAAGACAGCTATCCCTTAGATTAATCATTTTGAGATGGAGTTTAATCTGTTTATGTTAATCACATTTTTTCTAACTTGAATGCAAATTATAGTGGCTTTCAATATCTTTCTGAGCCCAGTCTTGGATTACAATTTTCAACTATAAATCCCAAATATTTGAAATCAAGATCTCTAAAAATCTACTATCTGTCCACTCTATGAAAGGAGTCAAAATGAGACATAATGTGGTGTATCAGTTAAGGTTCCCAGGAAGGATCGGGACTCGTTAAATATGGTCACTCATGCCCTCGTCACTTCCCGCCTGGACTACTGCAATGCTCTCTACATGGGGCTCCCCTTGAGGAGCACCCGGAGGCTCCAGCTGGTCCAGAATGCGGCCGCGCAGGTGGTTATGGGAGCGACGTGGCGCTCCCATGTGACCCCCCTCCTGCACGACCTGCACTGGCTCCCGGTGGTCTTCCGGGTGTGCTTCAAGGTTTTGGTCACCACCTTTAGAGCGCTCCATGGTCTAGGACCGGGGTATCTACGAGACCGCCTTCTGCCACCAGCAGCCTCTCACCAACCAGTAGGCTCCCATAGAGAGGGGCTTCTTAGAGTGCTGTCGTCAAACAGTGTCGACTGGCGGCCCCCAGGGGGAGAGCCTTCTCTGTGGGGGCACCCGCCATCTGGAACGAGCTCCCCCCGGAGATAAGGAGGATCTGCGCGCTTTCCGCCGTGCCCTCAAAACATTCCTATTCCAGCAGGCCAGCCTGGCCTAACCTCTCTTTTAAACTGTTTTTAATTTTTTTTAATTTAAATTTAAATTTTTTAAATTTTAAATTTGTCTTATAAATTTGGGGTGTTTTAAATTTTGTTCTCTGGGCCAATTTATTTAATTGTATTTTAATGGTTTTTTTTAACATTTGTATTATATGTATTTTATCTTTTGGCTGTTCACCGCCCTGAGTCCCGCAGGAGAAGGGCGATATAGAAATATAATAAAATAAATAAATATAATAATAATAATAATAATAATAATAATAATAATAATAATAATAATGTGTTAGACTGGGGGAAAATATGCTCAAGTCTCAGCCTAAACAATGGAAACTCATTCAGTCATTTTTGACCTGTCATTATCAACAAACCTCACATAAAGTGGTATGGATGCTCTTTTGAGTTTCTGGAGGAAGTGTGGAATTTAAATCAACCCATATAGGTTGGTAAATTAGGCTGAGACATACAGATTTTTCCCCACAAAGGCCCCATCCGTAGTGAATTGTACAGATATATTAAAAATCATGCTGTTTTGATTGGTCTCTGAAGGCCCCCAATGGATTTTAAGATTAGTTTTGCTTCTTTAAAAGAACTTTGAACAATTCTTCTTCCACAGTAAATAAATTTTTAAAACTAAGATTTTTTTAAAAAAAAAATGTAATAAATGAATCATAATAAAATTATTTTAATTCCTTCATTACAAAAGGAGGTGGTAGATTACTTTAAGTCAGGGTTCTTTATTGATAAAGGTGAATTGAAATGGTAACATTGTGACGGAAAGACTAATTGAATGCCTCTCAGTAGCTCAGCTTGGGAATCTACGTCTGCCAGTTCCTTGCTTCAAAGCTTGTTCATTCTCCTCCTTTGAGTTCCTTTCCTTAATCTTCCTTCCATTTTCATCTCTGCACAGCCTCGCCCAGCTCTCTGGAGTGGGAAAAGAAGAGCACCACCACTTAATTGCTAATAACAGGTAAATCAAAGGTAAAAGGGAAACTAATTAATTTTCTCATTCAGTTTTATTTTACTGTTAGTGTTTTGAGAAAATATAACAAAACCCCATTAGTGTTAAGGTAGGATCATGAAACAACATAATATAATGCAAGGAAGACATTTAGTAGTGTCGAGGAATGTTAAATTACTAATTAACTCCAAGTTACTGTATAAGAAAGCATAGTAATTTACAGGATTATTGCAACGTGAATGCCACAAGGGTCAGCTAAGGAGCATTTCCTTCTATATCTTTCCCCCACCCAAGTGCAGAATTCTTCTCATATTAAAATGGACCATCCTTACCCAGAGTTCAATGCTGCTAATTAGCTGCTGTGGAGGTGTTTTAGTAGTCATTTCACCCCAGTTCTGTATTAAGCTGCCAGCGTCGCCAACTGCTCAAGGTTCCCCCTGCTCAGAGGATCCAGCTGTCCACCTCTTACCCCCATGGCATGCCATTCAGGTGTTGCTTGCCAAGCCAAGCTTCTGTGCAAAGGAATTACCATTTTGTGTCCAGCATTCAATGAAAAGCAGGCTGCTGGAGGAAAGGTAGGCTTTAGGACTAGGGTGCACCACCTTCCTGTTTCAAATATAGAACAATGCAGTGGTGAAATCCAATTTTTTTTACTACCGGTTCTGTGGGCGTGGCTTGGTGGGCAAGGTGTGGCTTGGTGGGTGTGGCTTGGTGGGCGTGGCAGGGGAAGGATACTGCAAAATCTCCATTCCCACCCCACTCTGGAGCCAGCTAGAGGTGATATTTGCCAGTTCTCCGAACTACTCAAAATTTCCGCTACCAGTTCTACAGAACCTGTCAGAACCTGCTAGATTTCACCCCTGGCACAATGCTTTATACAGGTAGTCCTCAACTTATGACCACTACTGAGCCCAACATTTCAATTGCTAAGCAAGACAGTGGTTAAGTGAGTTGGGCCCCATTTTGTGACCTTTCTTGCTTGTTAAGTGAATCACTGCAGTTGTTAAGTTAGTAAAATGGTTGCTAAATCCGGCTTCTCCATTGAGTTTGTTGTCAGAAGGCTGCAAAAGGTGATCACATGACCCCGGGACACCACAACTGTCATAAATACATGCCAGTTGTCAAGTGTCCAAATCAGGTAAAACTATGGTGATGTTACAATAGTCGTAAATTGAAAAACAATAATAAGTCACTTTTTTCCAATGCCATTGCAACTTCAAATAGTCACTAAATGAATGATTGTAAGTTGAGGACGACCTCTATACATACTTGTGGATACCCACACATATGCTTATGCCTACACGCACACATTTATGCATGTTTGTATACCAACACATATGCATGCACACCCATACACACACAAAATCTGAAATCTTTATCCTACAGAGATATGACTAATCAAACCCCAAGGATTTCTACAATCTGTTTAAACATTTATTTAACCAAGGAAGCAAGGAGAGCTATCTTTTAGTTTTACCTAAATATATAAGAAGAATGCCATAACTTTGATTAATAATGGATTAAATAAACCTTCCACACATCAAAGGCAGGAAGGAGTGCTGTCTCCAGAAGAGCAGGGCTATCAAATGCCACTTTGTTGTCTTAAATGGAGCTCAGATCTGCAGAGCTCCATAGCATTCTGCACATGAAAGTTGGAGGTTATATGTAAGGGGAGCATTTAGAAACAGAACGAAAGGAAAGAAATTACTCTTATCTCTCCCAACCCAACCCCCCCTTTTTAATTAAACAAACATGGGAGAGATTAAAAAACACTGGGGGGAAAAATGAGATCATCTTACAACTGCCCAGCGTTGCTGACTTTATGACTAATTTATGTTTAACCTTCTTGAGAATTTACGATCAGAATACACTTTTCTTGTGAAATTCAAAGCTGCTGTCATTGGCAGCCAAAGAGTTTTAAGAGGGATTGTCCCCACTCCCACCCCGCCCCTCTGAAAAAGGCTGTGGGATAATTTGGGGCTTGTAATAATCAGCATTAGGATCGGGCCACCAGCATTATTTATTTATTTATTTATTTATTCAATTTATATGCCGCCTTTCTCCGGAGATTCAGGGCGGCTAGGGATTATTAGGGATTATTTTGACCCCAGAGACCTGCATTCTTCAGCTTCCCATCTGGGCCTGAATGAAAGAGATTATGCAGCTTTGCCACTTCTCTTCCTTGTGGTTTGTACCTGTTCCTCCAGGTAAAAATATTTCTCATAACAGTTTGGCCTTCTTCTCATTCCTACTTTGAGAGAAATGGCTCACCTCTCTCTCTTTTTTTTTTTTCCTGCTCATCAATTTGGAGCGACAATTTTAGGAAGTCATTTATAAACCCAGCTCTAATTCTTAGTGCCCTTTTTCTTAACAGAAAAACTTCACTGGGTAGTTTCTCTACCTAAAGCAAATATCCTTTATTTTTTCTATTTTGAACAAATCAGCAGCGGGAATGAATCGGATTCCTTTGCTTAAACTTGCCATCGCCTCTCCTGACTAATTTGACCAACAACTCAAGAGGGAGTCACAGTCCCTGTTGATTTCCTCAAAACCATCCTGAATTATACATGTCTTTCCAAGTAGGAGTCTTTCACACGAACTCCTTCCTTTCAGGATTGCACACTTATTGTATTGTATTCCTCAAACCACCCGATATTTTTTTTAAAAAAAGGCTTTCAAAGAACACAAACATAGCAATTAATAAACAGGATGAGCAAAATGAAACTGCTCAATTGAAAACAGTTTCTCAGCTATATGGCTGCTCCGTTTCTATTTCAGAGCAAAAGACAGTGTTCAAGGGCACTCTCTTTATCCCTCTCCCCATCCTCCATTCCATATGTAGCCTGTCAGTCTATAACAACATTCTGGCTTCCCTTTTCTCAGGTAACTCTAAGCCAATCACTATATCTCAGTGCAACCTACCACCTAAATCATTGCAGTAGGGATAAATTGAGGAAGTCTCCCATCTCAGGGGCCTCAAACTCCCAGAAGAGACGTAGGATTATAAAGTAAGAATGAGTACATATTGATGTCTAATCAGGACAGGACGTATTTGGAACAGTCAACTTAGCTTCTCTTGGAATTTAACTCAGCTGTACAAAAATAGTACTCTCTGGCTCAAAGAAATTTACTCAGATTGTCTTCTCCTTTGAAGATGTAGGAGAAGAGCAGGCAGAGCTGGGAGAGGAGTTAAGTATGTCATCAGTTTAGAGTCCTTTGGTTTCTACCAGTGCTCCAAGCCCAACCCCTCTTGAATTCCATTGATCTTTCTTTGGTACCAATTTAGTGTTGAACTTTAGTTGACCAGTTTCTTACGTATCAGCTTGAATAAATCTACGATGCAACACTATGAATGGTCCTGATTCTTTTGCAACTGTCAGAAAGTGGTTCTAAAGCAAAATCCCTTTCAGCAAACTGAATAAGAACTGGTAGAGAAAAAATGAAGACGCCTTCTCTGCCTAGCACTAATATCCCTTTTTCTATTTTGAACCTTTGCTGAAACTTGCAGTCACCATCCCTGACTCATTTGACCCTTCCCCCAACTCAAGATAGATTCACAGTCTATATTGAGTTCCTCAAAAATATCCTGAATTAACATATCTTTCTAAGTAGAAGTCTGTTACATGAACTCTTTCCTTTAAGGATTGCACCAGTAGACCACTCAATTTTTCATCTGAGAAATGTTTTGTTATTTCTTTGTTCACATAGGTTGCATTGACATCTCTTCACACATTTTGGGAAGATGGGCTGGTTAAATTCCACTGAAGCTGTCTAAATTCAGGGGATTTGGTAAGCCTGAAAGCATGTAGAATCATGGACTGCACTGTAGAACTTCTATCCATTGGAATTCCAAGATATGCAACCAGGTGAATGAACTAATTTGTGCTCCAATTGCACATGAAAAATGCAGTAGGAAGTAACAACATTACTTCTGACAGAAGTACAAAATTCTTTGTCCTGGTAGGATAAACTCAAAGGCTATCAAAACTGTACATCAACAGTATTATGAAAGAAGTATTAGCTTTAACTTTGCTCTGGAATGTTACACACAACTGCCTATTGCGATTTAACTGTTCTAAATCAGTATTTATATCAGAGATACAAAAGGCAATTTTAAAAGCATTCAACAGTCACCAAAGAAACTTTATTTTCCAGATCCAATTAATCTTAAAAGCGCAATCTTAAATCTGGTTTCATTTGTTTCCTCCAAAAGACGATATGCAGTAATAAAGGATATTATTCAACACTTGTAAGAATCTTATCACCTTGGCAAGAAGGTTTCTTCGTCAGTATCTGCTTCAGTATCTACTTCTATTTATATAACTAATGTTAAATGAAGAAAAATACATTTTTTGAATTTAGAATGTCTTCGGTTTCCACCTGTAAAACCAGATTAGTAAAACAATTAGGACCATCAAAATTGGGTAGGTCCATGGTAATGAATCTTTTCAGGCAGCACCATCAACAAATTCAAAGCACAAACAGAAGGAAAAATGTGTAGGAAAACTTGTCTACTCATTCTAGCATCTTTACTCAACTCAAATTTGCTTCAGAAAAATGGGAGTCGCAAGATGCCTCCTCAATAATTTAGGATGGTTTCATCGTTACCTAATAATTATGTTCAGCCTATAACATTTTCTTCATCCTCACCTTCTGGGAGAATTTTTAGAAGGCTAGCAAGTTCAATATGTGTATGTGTACGCTCTGTTTTTAATTGCATTATTCAAATTTAAAATGATTAAATGTATTATGGTAGATAAAAGCATAACTTAGCAAACCAACAAATGGATAATCACTGTGGACGTGCTGCTCATTATTGATTGGATCAGTGTTTTCAACAGATTTCCCATATTTCTGCTTAACTTTGAGCACATTATAATTGCATCCCCGTTGAGTGGCTGCTTAAAAGCCCATCTGTATGTGGGAATATTACCATCACGTTTGAAGCACAAAATGAGACCATTTTAAAGATCCTGCCATGCAGGCATCTAAAATAGTGTTATCAATAAC